TTAGAAGGTTTCCTCAAATAGAAACTTTCCTCATTTAGAAAGTTTTCCTCAAATAGAAACTTTCCTCATTTAGAAGGTTTCTTAAAATAGAAACTTTCCTCATTTAGAAGGTTTCCTAAAATAGAAACTTTCCTCAAATAGCAAATGACTCGGAATGAAAACTTTCCTCATTTAGAAAGTTTCCCAAATTAGAAATTTTCCTCAAATATAAAGTTTCCTCAAATAGAAACTTGCCTAAACAAACCCCTAATGAAATCAATTTCATGTTTTTAGATGTCAAACATTCAGAAAGTCGAGTTCGAGGCCCTCAAGGTCTCCGGTGGAAACTATCTCGAATGGACCCTGGACACCCGGATTTTCCTCAATTCAAAGGGACTGGGTGAGTGTATCAAAGCGGATAACACCGCATCTGATAAAGACCGGTCCCAGGCGATATTTCATATCCGCCATCATTTGGCCGCGAGCCTCAAACAGTATCTCACTCTTGAGAACCACTCGAACTTTGGGTGGTCCTGAAAAAATGGTATGATCACCAGAAAACGGTGCTCTTGCCACAAGCCAAGTTTGACTGGAAGGAACTCCGGTTCCAAGATTACAAATCTGTGGATGACTACAACTCCGAACTCTTTCGGATAGTTTCAATCATGAAACTATGTGGTGAAGAGGTGTCTGATAATGATCTCCTCGAGAAAACATTATCCACCTTCCATACCCAAAACAGTATGCTTCAGCAGTAATATCGTGCAATGAGACATACATTGTACAAAGATTTGTTATCTTGTTTGCTCTTGGCCGAGAAAAACAACAAGTTATTAATGAGGAACAGTGCCCAGAGGCCCCCGGGATCGGCTCCAGTACCAGATTCCCGCAAAGAATCCTACAATGTCCAGCGAGACAGATCCTCAGATCGTGGCCATGGACATGGGAATGGACGTGGGAATGGACGTGGAAAGCGTGGACGCGGAAACGGACGTGGCAACCGACATAACATCAGTTATGGTTCCGGTAAGGGCCGTGGTATCTCTAAACCAAACCGCCCTGCCCACCCAACCAATCAGTCTGCCTGCACCAGATGCGGAATGTTCAATCACTGGACAAAGAACTGTCGTACTCCCAAGTTTCATTGTGATTTGTATCAGAAACATGGGAAAGCACCTGCTGAAGCTAACATGGCCCAGCAAGTTGATGCTGACGACACCACCACCGAGCCGACCGATCCCATGGACTACGAGATCTCAGATCTCCTCGATTGATTCTATCATCTGAACACATAGAAACCCAGGGTGAAGGGAACAAAGAATCCCTACTGATCACTAAGTTCACACTTGGCCATAAACAAGTCCTCGAGACTATACCCGCATTATCTACTGGCCTTTACTATGCTAAGGTCAGTATGATTGAGGCTAATAATGCTCTCAAAGCCTGATTCCAAGACTACACTATTTGGCACGACCGGCTTGGTCATCCCGGTACGACCATGATGCGTAAATTAATCCAAAATTCTCAAGGACACACCCTTCGAGAAAACCGAGTCTTCCCTCAGTACCTCATGTGCATAGCTTGTTCCCAAGGGAAGTTGATCACTCGGCCTTCACCAGTAAAAGTGTCCAAAGAGACATTACATTTTCTGGAAAGAATCCAAGGAGACATCTGTGGTCCCATTCACCCACCTTCTGGGACATTCCGGTACTTCATGGTACTAATAGATGCTTCGACCCATTGGTCGTATGTATGCCTGTTGTCTTCTCGGAACCAAGCTTTTGCTAGGTTGTTGGCTCAAATCATCAGATTACGAGCCCACTTTCCAGACTTCCCACTAAAGACTATACGTCTTGATAATGCTAGTGAATTCACTTCCCAAGCGTTTAATGATTACTGTATGGCCATGGGGGTGACCGTTGAACATCATGTGGCACATGTCCATACTCAGAATGGACTTGCTGAATCATTCATTAAACGAATCCAATGGATTGCTCGACCATTACTCATGAGGTCGAAACTCCCGGTCTCAGCTTGGGGACATGCAGTATTACATGCTGCTGAACTAATACGCATCCGACCATCTAGTGAGCATAGATATTCCCCATCCCAATTATTACAGGGTCATGAGCCAGACATCTCCCATCTCAAAACATTTGGGTGCTCAGTCTATGTACCCATTGCTCCACCACATAGAACCAAAATGGGACCTCAAAGGAGGATGGGAATATATGTTGGTTTTGATTCTCCCACCATCATCAAATATCTCGAGCCGACCACTGGAGACCTATTTAAGGCCAGATATGCGGATTGCCAATTTGATGAATCGGTATATCCAACATTGGGTGGAGAGAAACACAAGCTGGTCAAAGAGCTATCATGGAATCAAACATCCTTAAATTGGCAAGATCCTCGGACTCTAGAATGTGATTCGGAGATCCAAAAGATTATACACTATCAAAAGCTAGCTAATCAATTGCCAGATTCCTTTGCTGACCCGAACAAAGTAACCAAATCATACATACCAGCTTGTAATGCACCAGTACGAATCACTGTTCCAACGGGACAAGTTCAAGTTGCTACAGAGTCTGCATCACGAAATAAACGTGGCAGACCTCTAGGTTCCAAAGACAAGAATCCACGGAAATCAAAGAAAGGTGCAATAGTTGAAACCGGGATTCCCAATATAACAGACATAGCGCGCGCTGAGACTCACTCTAATGAACCACCAGAAGAGGTTCGGGACGCCGAATCTCTAGGTTCTGACGAGATCGATAACGATGAGATCTCTATCAATTACAACATGTCTGGAACCCAATGGAACAGAAAAGAAGTCGACTTAAATGCACTCTTTGCATACAAAGTAGCACTTGATATTGCGAACACGCAAGAGGATCTAGAACCCACGTCTATCACAGAGTGCACTCATAGAACAGACTGGCTAAAATGGAAAGAAGCCATAAACGTGGAGTTAAAGAGTCTCAAACTCAGGAATGTGTTTGGTCCGATCATCCGGACACCATTCAATGTCAAACCAGTGGGCCATAAATGGGTCTTTGTGCGTAAAAGAAACGAACTCGGTGAAGTCGTTCGTTATAAAGCACGGCTTGTAGCACAAGGATTCTCACAGAGACCCGGAATCGATTATGAGGAGACTTATTCTCCGGTGGTGGATGCAACTACTTTTCGATTCCTCATAAGTCTGGCCATAAGAGAAAATCTAGATTTGCGGTTAATGGATGTTGTCACCGCATATCTCTATGGGCCCCTCGACAATGAAATATACATGAGATTACCAGATGGCATAGAGCTTAAAGATAAGCATGCATCTTGAGATCAATACTGCATCAGGCTGAACAAATCCTTGTATGGACTGAAACAAAGTGGACGTATGTGGTATAACCGGTTAAGCGAATATCTCATCAGAGAAGGCTACAAAAACGATCCCATCAGTCCATGCATTTTCATCAAGAAATACTCAAACAAAGGATTTGTAATCATAGCAGTTTACGTGGATGATCTAAACATCCTCGGAACATCTGGTGAAATCTCCCAAACAGTCGACTGCTTGAAAGCAGAATTCGAAATGAAAGACCTAGGTAAAACTAAATTCTGTTTGGGTTTACAACTTGAGTACGTTAAAGGAGGAATCCTTGTGCATCAAGCGGCTTACATTGAAAAAGTACTCAATCGATTCAATATGGACCAGGCCCACCCATTGAACAGCCCAATGGTTGTCCGGAGCCTAGGATTGGACAGTGATCCATTTGGTCCCAAGAAGGACGATGAAGAAATTCTCGGTCCAGAAAAGCCATACCTCAGTGCTGTAGGAGCGTTAATGTACTTGGCTAGTCACACTAGACCAGACATTTGTTTTGCCGTGAACCTCCTAGCTCGCTTCAGCTCATGTCCAACTCAGAGGCACTGGAATGTTGGTTTTGCTGATGCAGGTTATCAATCAGATCCGCACAATGCCAAGTCTCAAACTGGTTATGTGTTCACGCATGGAGGAACAACTATCTCTTGGAGATCGATAAAGCAGATAATCACTACCACTTCATCAAACCATGCAGAACTTTTGGCCATTCACGAAGCCAGCAGAGAATGTGTTTGGCTACGATCCATGACTCAGCACATCAGATCAGATTGTGGTATGAAAGAAGATAAGGAGCCCACGGTTATGTTTGAAGACAACGCGGCTTGCATTGCTCAACTCAAGGAAGGTTATATCAAAGGAGATCGGACGAAGCACATCCTACCGAAATTCTTCTCAACCTCGGATTGGCAGAAGGATGGTACGATCAGCGTTCAACAGGTCCGATCATGCGATAACTCCGCCGACCTTTTCACCAAATCATTGCCCGCTTCAACACTCCGGAAGCTCATCCAACAAATAGGAATGCGTAGACTTAGAGATCTACGGTGATGCTCTAATCAAGGGGAGTAATGCGTGTTGTACTCTTTTTCCTTCACCATGGTTTTTCCCACTGGGTTTTCCTGGTAAGGTTTTAATGAGGCAACATTCCCCAGCGTATTATCGAGATCCCGATTGACCATCAGGTCCGGTTACTCCGTCTAAGGGGGAGTGTTATAATACATCATATTGGACTTATAACCGGGCCCAATAAGCCCATCAGGGTTATTCATTACGTACTCTAAAACCCTAGGTTTATATGCCTATATATATGTATCGTTATTCATGGAATGGAATAAAACAACAATAAGTTTCACAACATTTACAAATAATTTGTGTTCAATAAAATGAGGGTAATTTGGGTAGTTATTGGCATAAATTACATTATTACCTTAAAACGATAACTAATTTAAAACAAAAAAAGCTCTAAAACGACAACTATTCGAAAACGGAGAGAGTATGAGTTGTTTCTTTAGAAATTTTTGACACACTGTTGAGTTGACTTGGATACTCTGCTTTGCTGTTTTCATTTTGGATATTAAAAATCATACTTTTAATTTTTTTTAGGAACAAAAAAAAAAGAATTATCTGGCAAAGTTTTTTTTTTTTCTTCTTCTGCTTTAGTTTCCGAGAAAGTTGAAGCAGAGAAGCAGAGAAGCAGAAAGTTTCAGAATTCTCTTTTCTCTTTTAGCTCAAAGCTCACACACACGAACACTCGATTCCTCGTTTAACCTTTGTGTTTGTCAATTTTCGTTTCCTCTTTTGACGATTCATTTCTCGATTCGATCTCGATTTGTGTTTTGTTTAGTGTTTAAAGATCGATTCCAATCTTTTACTTCTGGAATACTGATGAAGTTTTTTTAAGGATTTGATCTGTTGAAGTTTCGATTAAGAAGATAGTTGTTTAGGGTTTATGGTTTGTAATTGAATTTTTTTTTATCTGGAATGGGTTGTGAGGTTTCAAAGCTATCTGCACTTTGTTGCGTTTCAGAATCTGGAAGATCGAATCCTGATGTTACAGGCTTAGGTGAGTAATAGCCATTGATGATTTTAGGGTTTTTGATGATTGAGATTCTTATGTTGTTGGGTTTATTCAGATGAAGAAGGGAGAGGTGAATCGAATGATTTGCCTCAGTTTCGTGAATTCTCTATAGAGACTATAAGGAACGCTACTTCAGGATTTGCAGCAGAGAATATAGTTTCAGAGCATGGTGAGAGAGCTCCTAATGTTGTTTATAAAGGGAAGCTTGAGAATCAAAGACGTATTGCTGTCAAAAGGTTTAACAGGAAATCTTGGCCTGATTCTCGTCAATTCTTGGTAACCCATTATTTCTCTTTTGGTTCCATAGTTAGAGCTAATTCTGTGCTTTCCATTTGGCCTGATACTCTAGCTTCTGTGTTGGTCTAGTGTGTTGGATAAGGGGTTATGCTCATTGCTACTGACTTTTTAGCTAGTAATAATGGGACATTGTAGTTTTTAGACTATATTCAAGTCTAAGTAGTGAAAAAGGTTTAACTAGTATGATTCTCCCTCCTATATATTTTCTTTTTTTTTTCTATATTTTTTTTCTTGTTCATAGGTTGTTATCTAGATGCGAGTAGATTATATTCGGGATTATTTTATTTTCTTTCATGCCTATTTGTGTTTGCCCAAAGCTAAACAATTGTTTTTAATCTGTGAGATTAGGAAGAAGCCAAAGCTGTTGGTCAATTACGGAATCATAGGATGGCAAATTTACTTGGATGTTGCTATGAAGGTGAAGAGAGACTACTTATTGCAGAGTTTATGCCTAATGAAACTTTGGCAAAACATCTTTTCCACTGTAAGTTCCTAACATAATGTTTCTTCATATATATTGATACTCGAGACAGTATTTTCTCCTATTTGGTTATGCTTCTAACAAGTAGTTCTTGAAAGTTTGAGTGGAGGCTTAACAAAAAAAAATGATTATTTATGTGTTTCAGGGGAGTCACAACCAATGAAGTGGGCGATGCGACTGAGAGTAGCTTTACATATTGCTCAGGCGCTAGAGTATTGTACCAGCAAAGGACGTGCACTTTACCATGACCTAAATGCTTATAGAGTTCTCTTTGATGATGTAAGTTTGATACAATTTTTGTTTACCTTTGGTTCCCGTCTAGTGCATATGAAAATAATTTATGTTTTTGTTTCTTAGGATGCAAATCCAAGACTTTCATGCTTTGGTTTGATGAAAAACAGTAGAGATGGAAAGAGTTACAGCACTAACCTGGCATTCACTCCTCCCGAGTATCTGAGGACCGGTATATTTTTGACAAAACACTGCAAATACCTCATTGAGTCTGACACTACCTAAATTGTTTCCTGGGATTCTCAAAATTTTCTGGCAGTTTATATTTTTCCAGCTGACTGCTAAGGTTTCAGGAAATCATGAATGCTTTATTTGGATTGTGGCTGCTTTTTTTTATCGGGTTTTGTGTTTATTTCTACAGGTCGCGTAACACCCGAAAGTGTGATATACAGCTTTGGAACTCTATTACTTGACCTTCTGAGTGGAAAGCACATACCTCCAAGCCATGTAAGGTTTCCAAATATCCTTTTGAATTGGTGATGTTTCTTAGTGTCTGTTACTGAATCTGACTAGGAAGGATTCTCCCTGAGCTTGAGAGAAGCATGTTATAACTTAGTATCCTTGAATAATAGTTTTTTGCTAATCCAGTACCTTGTATGGTGTGTATTCTAGGCGTTGGACCTCATACGGGACAGGAACATTCAGATGCTGATGGATTCAGGTTTGGAGGGTCAATTTTCAAGTGACGATGGGACTGAATTAATAAGGTTAGCTTCAAGATGCTTGCAATATGAACCCCGAGAGCGGCCTAACCCAAAATCTTTAGTCTCTGCAATGATTCCTCTTCAGAAAGATCTTGAGGTGCTTTTCACTATCATTAACTAGTTCCGAGTTGCTTATACTTAGCAAGCTTTTAGTATTAATTAGATTGCTTCTCATCAATTGTTAATCATGTAGATTGCTTCTCATCAATTGTTAATCATGTAGATTGCTTCTCATCAATTGTTGGGCATACCTAACAGTGCCACAACCACCGCTCTTTCACCACTTGGCGAAGCATGCCTAAGACCAGATCTAACTGCTATACATGAGATCATTGAAAAGCTTGGATACAAGGATGACGAGGGTGCAACCACAGAGGTTATTTTCGTAGTTTCAACCTAGCCATTCTACTATTGTGGTCTTCTAATGTTTGATTCTAATTTTGATATTTGTAATTCCTTGGCAATAGTGCATCTGTGGTATCTTTGACTCTGGCTATCTTGTTGATTATATTCACATCTAATACATTTTTGCCTGTTTCTTCGTTTTTGCGACAGCTTTCTTTCCAGATGTGGACCGACCAGATGCAGGACACATTGGTCTTCAAGAAAAAGGGGGATTCTGCATTCCGACATAAAGACATTGCAAAGGCCATCGAATGCTTTTCTCAGGTTAAACCTTTTATGCTGTAGTAAGTTTTAGTTCCTGACAACAATCTATAGTTGAGTGCTGGTGGTTTTCACGTAAAGGGTAGTGATCAAGATTTTCAATTAGCCTCTCATATTCACTTTATGCTTCTGACCGAAAGATTTGTTTGCAGTTCATCGAGGTAGGTACAATGGTTTCCCCAACTGTTTATGCAAGACGTAGTCTATGTTACCTAATGAATGAGATGCCTAAAGAAGCACTATATGATGCAATGCAAGCCCAAGTCATATCTCCTGCGTGGCATATCGCATCCTATCTCCAAGCTGTAGCTTTGTCAGCTCTAGGACAAGAGAACGAAGCACACGCTGCTCTAAAAGACGGTGCAATGCTTGAAAGCAAAAGAAACACTTTGTGATTATAAGTAAAACGAAGAGGAGAAACTGGAGTAGGAGATAAACATAATCCTTTACGCTAACCCATACACCCGAAGAACCACTGTCTCAACCTTGTATGTATGAAATGCCTGCAGATTTAAGATCAAAGCATTACAAATCTACATCAATTGTTCCTTTCCAAAGCCTTGATCATCACATCACTGGTTAGTCTGGTTTTTATTTCAGTTTAGTGCCCGTTTTGCAAGATCCTCGTTTCAAGCCACTGCGATTCTTCGATTACAGCGAGTGGACTGTGTTTATTCTGTTGTTGTTGTTGTTGTTGTTGTTTTGGTTGAATGGTACAGACGTGTTTGGTATCATAGAGAAGAAAAGAAGTGTCCATGGAGATATATGAGATAACAAAACTTCAAAATGTGTGATTGTGTATTATTTGCTTTAATGTAATTCAAATGTTTTGTATAGAAGGAAGTAGAAACCTCTATGTTATTCCATTCCCCTCCTTTTTTTTTTTATTGGATCTTGCAAATGTTGAAACGCTTAAAGATGTTAAATTTTAAGAGAAACATATAAATCATTCAACAAAAAAAAGATAAAAAAAGGGCTCAACCGGGTTCGAACCGGTGACCTCTCGATCTGCAGTCGAATGCTCTACCACTGAGCTATGGGCCCAATTGACAATTCTTTAATATTTATATTATATATATAATAATATAAAACCTGATTGGTTATTGTGTCTCTCCGTCACCGACTTCTTAAAAAATAATCACACTGCTCTTCCTATCTCCGCCGCCGCAACGTTGAATCTTCCCGGTCAGAAGATTTCCTCAAAGAGATGGGGAAACGAGGGCCTAAGAAGCTTACAAACACTCAAGGAGGACCTAATCTCAAGTCTGTACTAAGACATGAGCACTTGAAGAATCTCGCTCTATGGTCTTCCACCGGAGATACTCCGATACCGTCTCTTGCTTCATTATTCGGTCGACGTCTCGCTGCCGACACTGAAACCACGGGAATCGCTACTGATCCCGATCACGTCTCTTGTCAGAGGTATTTTGCCTCTTCCTACACTTATTTTTAGGGTTTCTGATTATGATTGGGATTTTGAATCTTGCTCTGTGTTTTCATTCCTAATGTTGTTAGGGTTTATCTTAAATAAATAGGATTATGTAATGAGTCAAAGTTTAATCTGTAGGTGTGAGACAATTCTTAAGCCTGGATTCAATTGCAATGTTAGAATCGAGAAGGTTTCTGCTAATAAGAAGAAACGCAACAGGTGCAAGAATTCTAACATCTGTTTGCCTCAGAACAATGTAGTTTACCATTGTAATTTCTGTTCTCACCGGAACTTGAAGAGAGGTACTGCGAAAGGTCAGATGAAAGAGATTTACCCGTTCAAGCCGAAGACTGCTCGTTCTTTGCGTCCTAAGATCAAGAAAGAGATGACGGTGCCTCAAGAAATCCAAAGTAGCATGCTTTCTTCACCGGAGAGAAGTGTGAAAGATCAGGTGGAGGAGAATAGTGTTGGGGATACACCAAAGCCAATGATGCTTACTTTGGAGAGGCATAGGAGAATACGGAAACCCAAAAGTAAGAAACCGATCGATCCCGGAAGCAGTGTTCCTGAGAAAACAGTTGGTGGATCAAATAAGAGGAAGAGAAAATCATGGACAAGTATGAAGATACCTTAAAGATACCTTTTCTCTTGTAATCTCAAGTAGTTTTGGGTGAAAAGCAGAGTACATATATCTCTTTGTTGAAGTTTTAGTACAATGATGCTTCTTGATATTCTTGTTCCTTTTTAACTTTTGAGATGTTTTGATGATCTCTGAGAAATGAAAAGTCATAGTTTCCAACTGATCTTCCATGGTTAACTAATGCAATATCACGAGTTGCTACTGGTGTAGCTTTGAATAACAGTCCATGACATTATCCTATATAAACAAACTGTAACGCTTGGATTGAGATGGCAACACAAAAGAGATCATCAAAAACTGCCGTCGAGAAGCAATCGTTTACTACTTCGGTTGTATGGTTTGGTACTCTGATAAGTTCAGTTGCAACACAACTTACAACACAAATGTCAAACCATGCTCTCTACCAATCATCCATTGTTAACTATTACAATCCCCGTAACTGGTCTAGCTTCAGACACTCTATGGATGTAACCCGATTCAACGGCTCGTATGAAGGCAACAGAGGAAAAGGTTAAGAAGCCAACATTGTGTCCGAGGATACTCAGCCACGAGGATGAGCTTGCTTTGTTTCAAGGAACTCTTGACTTCACTCCACAAGAGGAGACCCATATGGACGAAAGAAGAGAATGATCGAGGAAAAATTAAAAAGGCTTGTTTATCAATCCTAACTCCTAAATTATGTGGCATTGGATGATTTTTGAGCAAAGCCTCTACCACTCTCTTCTTTTGCAACCTAAACTTGTCTATCACTCCTAAATCCTAAATATTTTTTGATATATCATGTAACATAAATCATATATTGCCAATTATTATATATATTTCCAATACATATTAAATTAGTATTTGTTGTACTGTATGATGTATTATGTATAGCATATGTACATAGTAAATCTTAAACTGAAAACTCATAAGAAAGTTACATGAATATTATTTAAATTTAATCTATAATCTAATGCTCAACAATTTCAAAAATCATCTAACACAAGTGTTCATCGTGCGCAATAATTTTCAAAATAATCAACAAATCATATTATTAAAAAATTTAAAATTCTAAATTTTCACATGTCGGCACAACCAAGTCACCTCGTTCCAATTAATATATGGTGACATTTATAGATTCATAGGTTTCACTGATAACATTATCTTACATTTTTTCACATTGTTATCGGTTTCACATCTCTTAATTAATTTGTCCCCTATATTAATCCCCACTTGAAATATATATTCTCATCCATTACCATTAGTCAACTCTTTTTGGGACAATCCAAGTAAAAAACAAAGACCAATCTAAAAGATAACAAAGACCCATGTTAAATCAACGACCTCTCTCTAATCTCTCTATATATAATCTTTTCTTCTTCTTCTTCTCTTTTATTTCATAACCTCTAAAAAGACTAAAATAACATGGAAGCAACAAAGAAACTCTTTGTTCTCCTCTGCCTCTTTCTCACCATTAACCAAGCTATCTCTGAATCCGAGCACATGGCGACTTTCTGCAACGAATCATCCGGAAACTTCACTAGCAACACAACTTACAACAAAAATCTCAACACTCTTCTCTCTACTCTTAGCAACCAATCATCATTCGCTAACTACTATAATCTCACGACCGGTCTAGCTTCAGACACAGTCCATGGAATGTTCTTATGCACAGGAGACGTCAACAGAACAACATGCAACGCCTGCGTCAAGAAGGCAACAATCGAGATTACCAAAAACTGCACTAACCATCGAGAAGCAATCATTTACTACTTTGATTGTATGGTTCGATACTCAGATAAGTTCTTCCTCACGACCCTAGAGACCAAGCCTAGCATTTGGTGGTCATCTCACGATTTAGTACCCAAATCATATGGTAAATTTGGACAGAGACTGTCTGAGAAAATGGGAGAAGTTATCGTTAGATCATCTTTGTTGTCTTCATCGTTTTCGCCATATTATCTTATGGATACAACTAGATTCGATAACTTGTATGATCTTGAGTCTATTGTTCAGTGTAGTCCTCATTTGGATCCAACAAACTGCACCACATGCCTGAAACTTGCGTTGCAAGAACTCACTGACTGCTGTGGTGATCAGGTTTGGGCTTTCATCTTCACTCCCAAATGTTTAGTGAGTTTTGATACCTCAACTTCATCATTGCCACCGCTTCCACCGCCAAGTCGCAGCGGTTCCTTCTCCATTAGAGGTAAGCATACATATGAAATAATGATGGGTTGTTATATATACTTTTATTTATACAGAGTAGATGGTTCGTACATTTGACAAGTTATGTATACTTAAAAAATTTAAAACCTATTAGACTATTATAGTAAATTTTCGATTATATAAAACATGTTTCGATGTATTCCATTTAAGACAATAAAGAACAAAACTACTGCCCACACGGCCGTGGTGTAATGGTAAGGGAGAATTGGCGAAAGGTTGGAAAGAACTAACCCAGGTTCGATCCATCCTAGAAACTAGGGGTGTCAAAATGGGTTAATACCCATGGGTTACCCAAACCCGCCCATGATTTTAGTGGGTTTGGGTAGAATTTTTTTACCCATATATATAAATGGGTTTTAATGGATTACCTTATTAGGGTTATGGGTTTAATGGGTAAAACCCATTAGGGTCATGGGTTACCCATGAGTTTCATAACCAAAACTAAAAAGTAAAATTTATATATATTTATATTGATATATTATGTAAAATTTATATAAATATATGTAAAATATCTTCTTTTCTTTACAACTATATATGTAAAATATCTAAAATAACTATTAAAGTTTACATTTTACCTAAAAATAAAAGTAAAAAGTAAAATATATGTATAATATTATTTTAATTTATTTATTATTAAAAGTAAAAAGTAAATATATGTAAAATATATGTAAAATAAAAGTAAAAAGTAAAATAACTAGATTTTTTAAATTTATTATTTAAAAACTTTTATTGGTTTACAATTTTATGTTATTTTTTTTGGATTTTTATTATTTATATATTTTATTATACATATATATTGGTACCCATATAACCCATTAAGCCAATGGATTTCTACAATAATGAGTTTGGGTATGTAAATTCAACCCATATAAATATATGGGTCGGATCAAACCCGTCCATTAAACACTCGAACCCATATGGGTTTGGGTCGGGTCGGGTCGGGTTACCCATTTTGACACCCCTACTAGAAACAAAAATTACATTTGTGTGGGAAGTCTGGGTTTGGGCTTTACCCCAAACAATTCACATGGTATTCGGGATTAGGCTATCTGGATACCTCTAGTAGTCTGACATCTAGGTATTGGCGACAAATCCACATGGTAGCACTTCGGTGTGTTATCCCCGAAGCTGACCAAATCAGCCGATCGGGTATATAAAAAAAAACAAAAAAAACAAAATTACTGCAACATTAATTCTCTCTTGTATTTTTCTTTTAGCATTATGGTCATCAATCTTGTAATGTTTGGATTTTTTTGTTTTGTTTCACAGGAAATAACAAAATACTTGGGGGAATGGCTCTTGCTGTGGCCGTTTGGGTGTTTGCATTTTTGGGTTTATGATCGATACATATATTAGAAAAAACGTTTGTTTGAGTTTCGATTTGGAATTTTTTGCTAAGAGCAAAACAAAAAAACATTGTTTCCGTTAATTATGCTTCAATTTATTTTCCTCTTTTGATGTGGTGATACAATTCAGTTGTTGTAAGGATCCTCTTTTTATAATGATTTTGTGTTTTTAATTCATTTGATTTTGATACATATATACATGTGGGGATGAAAAATATTGTGAAATTCCTATTAGGAACAACAACTGAACATGCAACTGATTGTACAGAAAAATTGACTTCATCTCTTTTTTTTAATAACCAAGGGTGATCCTGATTTCACATGCATAAACAAAAATTAAAGTGACAAAAATATTAGAGTTTTATCAAGTTGATAATAGCTTAGTATGAAGATATCCTCAATTTAAGATCAAATACACGGAATTGTAACCAAGAAATTAACTTTTTCCGATTGTTTCGTTTTTATTTATTACAATTCTTTCGTTTTATCGTTCTTTAATATCTATTTATTTGTAATTACTTGTATATCAATGACCATGTATAACTCTTTTAATTTATACGTCAAATAGAGGTTGTAAAAAATTCCCAAATAAAGTAAAAAAAAAAATGATTGATCTCACTAGTTTAAAAATCCAAAAAGTGTCACTAGTTACATTTCATACATTATTTTTCACTATCGGTTTCACATCTCATAGTTAATTTGTACCCTTAATTAATCCCCACTTGAAATATATATTATCACACCATTAGTCAAGTCATTTTGGGAGAATCCAAGGAAAAGAAGAAATATATATCTTAGAGAAATATCAAAAACTAAAACTTAACAAAGACCAATTTACGAACTTGCTAAATCAACGACCTTATCTCATAAACCATACAAGAAATTTAGACATGTTAACATCAATGAAGCTCTCTGCTCTCTTCTCCTTCTCTTCGCATTAATTGATTAATTTATCCCTTTGATTAACTCCCACTTGAAATATATATTCACCCTTTGTCAACTCTTTTTGGGAGAATCCAAGTAAAAAACAAAGACCAAATGATGAAGCGGAAGCTTTTAGGGATAGAACTAGATCCGTTGATTCTGAGAATACCCGGAAACTAGGGCTTCTCTTAGGGCTCTCGCAAAAGCTCTTGGGGTTGTGAATACTTTTCACAGTGGTTTATCCAAAACCTCTTTAAATCTTTCGATTAATTAATTCATCAATAACTGAATACAATAGGAGACCTAAGAAGGCTATTTATAATAAAACATAAAAACCCTAAAACATAGAATATTCTAGAATAATTATAATTAATAAATTAAAAGATAATATAAATACATATCTCGCTGCATTACCAAACCGAAAAACAAAAAAATAAAGACCAATCTGGAAAAATAATAAAGACCAATGAACTGTTTAAATCAACGACCTTCTTCTTCTCTTTTATCGGAACAAATTCTCAGGGGCTCCTCAAGCTCCAAATTTTGTCTCAAATACTCCTCAATGGTAGAAAGACAAAATTACCCTTAATGAGGGTTGATTTCGGGTGATAAAGGTTAAATACAATTAAATCGGTAAATGTTCAACGAAAAACACAATAGCTCAGTGGTTGCGAGCTCCATGCGCACGCGCGCGCCCCCAGGGTTCGAATCCTTTTATTCGGGTTGTAACTGGTACAACTAGGGAATATTCGGGAATATTCGGGTACAACTAAGGTCTGGTACAACTAAGGTCTGGTACAACTAGGAGGGTACAACTAGGATACCAATTGTACCACGTATACCTAGTAAAGGGGTAGTTTTCTCCTTTCATTAAAAGGAGGAGAGTATGTAGATTAGAGGAGAGTATATAGATTAATTCTTTGACTCTAAGGAGGAATTGAGATTAGTCTCCTCTTTTATCTCATATAATCTCAGAAAAAAAAAACATGGAAACAACAAAGAAACTCTCTGCTCTCTTTTGCTTCGCTTCTCTCTTCTGTCTCTACTTCACCAATAACCAGACCATGTCCGAATCCGACCACATGGACACTTTCTGCATCAAATCATCCAGAAACATCACTCACAACACAACTTACAACACAAACCTCAACACCATGCTCTCTACTTTTCGCAACAAATCATCCATCGTTAACTATTACAATCTCACAACTGGTCTAGCTTCCGACACAGTCTATGGAATGTTTTTATGCACAGGAGACGTCAACATAACAACTTGCAACGCCTGCGTCAAGAACGCAACAATCGAGATTGTCAAAAACTGTACTAACCATTGAGAAGCAATCATTTACTACTTGGATTGTATGGTTCATTACTCAGATAAGTTCTTCCTATCGACTTTAGAGACCAAGCCTTATAGCATTTGGAGCGCCGATGATCCAATACCGAAAACACTAGGTCCATTCAGAAAGAGATTGTTGAAGAAAATGGGAGAGGTTATCGTAAGATCATCTATGTTGTCTTCAGCTCTCACGCCGTATTATTACTTGGATGTGACTCGATTTGATGGCTCCTACGATCTCGACTCTCTTGTTCAGTGTAGTCCACATTTGAATCCTGAAAACTGTACCATATGTCTGGAATATGCGTTGCAAGAAATTATCGACTGTTGTAGTGACAAATTTTGGGCTATGATCTTCACTCCTAACTGTTTTGTGAATTATTATATCACAACTCCACCACTGCCGCCGCTTCCATCACCGTATCACCATAGCGGTTCTTTCTCCATCAGAGGTGAGCATATCTACTTTTTTGTGTAACAATTGTTCTATGCGTTATTTTTTATTTATTATCAGTATTATATCTGTTGTGTAATATTTGGATTATTTTATTTTTCAGGAAATAATGAAATATTTTGGGGAATGACTCTGGCAGCTTTGGTGTTTACATTTTAGGTCTATGATAAGACTGCGGGTTTAAGGGCAAAATAAAAATTCATTAGATAAACAGGATAAGACCGTTAATTGCATTAGATAATAATATCATTGGAATCTATAAATAGTTCGTATTGAACAATTTCAATTATTTACATAATTTAGTACTCTTCATATAATCTATTTATAAGAAAATGCCCTAATAAAATAAAAAGTCAAAAGCTTCTGGGAACATACACAATGGGATATCTGGTCCAGAATTGATCATAAGCATTTTCCAATGATAAATTGATCAAACTGGACTTACTTACTTTCCATTTTCGCGTAAACAAAACAAGGTTAGTTAATGTGTAGAAGAAAAAAGCTTTTGTGCATCGATTTTAATCTACAATGAATAACGTTATCGGAAAAAAATATTTTTTATCTCTTAATGTTAAGAGGTTTTACTGAAGATGAAAATCCAGTGATTGGTCTTTTAGAACCTGAGATCAACAGAGAAACACATTATGATCTTGTAAGAATCAAGCTCCTAATAATATTTGACAAAATTCTATCTAATCTATGTTTACTTTACAAATAGACAAGAAGCTTTGGTTTTAAGGAAAAATACTCAAAGAGTTGATGAAAGTGGGGTTACTTGTTAAAGCCTTAGCTGAAGTGTTAGAAATCGACAGACGAGAAGGTCTGGTTTTGTCTGCTCTTGGTGTATGCTTCACTGGCTTTGATGTTCCAACATTAGCTCCAGTGGCGGAGGCAGAGGTTTGATAGGGGGGTCAGTTGACCCCCATGAATTTTTAAAAATCCATTATATGTCATTAGCAATAATTCTAACGACCCCAACTTATAATAAATTTTGACCCCAATACAAAATTAATATTGCAACTTATAGTTTAAATATTTGAAAGTTTGATTTTCACTAAAATTTTAGACCCATAATTAACTTTAAATAAAAGAAATACTCACCTAATATTATTTCAGTTTTTACAAAACACCAAAAAAAATATTAAAGTTTTTAGTGTATTATCTTATATTAAAAAAAAAAATTTTGACCCCCATAACATAAATTTCTACCTCCGCCACTGATTAGCTCTGCAATTAGTAGATAAACAATGAACTCTAAACACAATGTAACTCTTCTTTCAAAATAGGATTTAAAAATGAAAGTAATTAGGAACTATACTCACTTATCATTTTGTTCAAACATTTCAGGAGGATTTGAGGTTTCAGGGAAGAGTGTCAACCCCATCGCACCGCTACTAATCGAGCCATCAGTTTCTGTTCCCATTGAAAGACAACTATCAGAGATATCACTCAATCTTTCCTCATTATCTGAATCTTCAAGGCCTAAAAGTTCAATATCCTCAAATATATCATTGTCTTTAGCCCCACCAGAAAACTTAGACGATGATCGAGATTCATTTTGATTGCGACGTTCATCTGCTGAATCTGAAGTTGTTCTTCCAAGTAAACCAGACCCTTGTCTTCTTCTTGGAGAATTTGTTAAAGCTCCTCCTAAAGAATGTCTTCTAGTAGGAGAGACAATTCTTAGTTTGCTTAATCCACGTTTTTGGATAACGTTTACGTTCTGAAACTTTTGAAGTTCTTCATCTTTCTTGGCAATCATATCTCTCAAGTTCGATACCTGCATGCAATATCAAGATTTTCAAGGATTATCAAAATACAAGTACATATCCATAAGTTATAAAACTTTGACATGAAGAATAATGTAAGCACCTGTTCCATGAGTTGTCTAACATCTCGTCCTTCCTTATAGCTTCTAGCTGCACCTAACTCGACACCAGAAACTCTTTCCGCTAATTTCAAAGTACTTACAGTCTCAGCATATGAATCTTCATCAGGATTAATTTGAACAAACATAAGAGTTTTTGCTTGTCCTCCTAAAAAATTAAATCATCAGAGAATTGAAGCAAACAACAATGTCAAATAATAAAACATTTATGAAAGTGTATCACATATATATAGTACCTAAAGAATTCTGGAGGACTTGTGTTAGCTTGCTGTTTCTATACGGTACATGAGGATTCTTATGTGCGAGAGCGAATATAACATCTCCGAGAGCAGACAATGATTTTTTTATATATTGAGCTTCTTTGAGTCTCTCTCCGGTTACTTCAGAGCGACCAACTCTCTCACTTCCAGCAAGATCAACCAAATGCAAACTACCACGCAAGACGGATTCGGTTTTGACATCAACACCGCGTACATGAACAGAAAGAACACTGCAAAAAAAGAAAAGGACAAAGCAAATGTCTTATAGCTCAATTTAGAAGAAACATGTTAAACCGCAACAACTTTATTCAG